TAGCCGCGCTTCTTTTGCTGCGGATTTTGAACTGGTAAACTGTGAGTTTGTCTCTGGGGTTGCGTCCTGCTTTATCCTACAAACGCCTCATCACCACATTGTCTCGGCCACCGGAGGTCGGTACCATGGCCCCTAGCGGAAGAAAGCGGAAGGCCGCGCCGGCAGAGACAGTGGACAAGCGCGAGAAACTGGCGGAGGGCCCGGCGGTGGTCATTGAGCATTGGTGAGGGGCGCGGGAGTCGCGGGGGGCGGGGAAGCCTAGGCCTGGCTGCTGGGACCTAAGGCCCCGTCTGCAACCCCTTATGTCCGCAGCACGAGCTGACGCGTGTACGGGCGCCATGCTGCTGCCCTGAGCCAGGCTCTGCAGCTGGAGGTCCCAGAGCTGCCTGTGCAGGTGAACCCATCCAAGCCGCGGAGGGGCAGCTTCGAGGTGACGCTTCTGCGCCCGGACAACAGCCGTGAGTGGAGGCCGCGATGGGGGTAGAGACGCAAGCCGGGCACCTGATGACTGAGGGGATGGGGTAGTAGTGAATGCCACCGTAATTGAGCTTTATCCGATCTTTTTCCAGGTGCGGAACTCTGGACTGGTATTAAGAAGGGCCCGCCACGAAAGCTAAAATTTCCTGAGCCTCAAGAGGTGGTTAAAGAATTGAAGAAGTATCTTTCATAAGGACGTTGGGCAGGGAGTCTCCATGCTGAGGTTTGCATCATGACACAGGGATGCACATTGGGATCGACTGTGAAAGTCTCCTTACTATTACAACGTGTCTCATGTGTGATTTTTAAAGAATTAAACTGTGGAATTCCCTCTTCCCCCCAAGACTTGCCCTGCAGGTATAGGCAAGTTCTGCATTTGTTACTATTTCCGTTTCCCATCTCTGGTGACTATTTTAATTACATGAGTCTTGCAAATCTTCCTGGTTAAGTGTGACATGTTTCTGTAGTTAAGGTTTTTCTCCCTTATTGGCAGAATCTTTGCTGTACCTGCGGTTTTTCTGGTTTTTGCTAGTAGTCTGTGATAAGGTAGCATTACACCCCACCCCCATTGTTGGTGGCATGTATTTGATTTGTGTTTCTAGTGCTTAATATAACGCTTTGGCATGTTTTCCGAACTTACATGTGGAGTGAGTTTTGTGTGGCTAAAAACACAGGGTGGGCATGCCTCTGTTGGTCCTTGTGATTGCTTGGAACCCAACTCTCATGTTCCCTTCTCTATTTGCAGCTTTCATTCCCTGGAGATGTTGAAGCATTTATGATAGTGCATGGCCAAACCTAAGCTATGTACCTGAAGCCAGTTTCTTCCTCACCAGAAATGATGGTCCAGTTGCGACGAAGCCCTCCAACAAGGCATTGTAAAAGTGTTTGAATTGGTTTAATAAAAGTTAAAATAAAGTATCTGAGAGCAAGGGCCAAGTTTAAAGTTTTTCTTAAAGGATAGGCACAACCAGCCTTGTCGGGTTGTTGGTCTTTGTATTTTTCATATCGCAAAGTAACTTTTATGTAGAAATTGTAGGGTCTATGGCAAAACGTGAAACACTTATAAAAACATGGGATATTGTTGGGTATGGTGGTATATGCCTACAATCTTAGCACTTGGGAGACTGACAGGAAGATTGGGAATTCATGGCCAACCTGACCTACAAGACCAGGTTGTTTTTTGTAAAACAAGCAACAACAACAACAAAAAAAACCCATAGAGACAAAGTAAATCTTTTTTTAAAGCAACTACTTTTAATCTACTTCTTGGAAGTGGTTATGGAAATAACATCTTCCAGGCCCCTGTTTAAGTTTTTCTAGACTTCTCATACTGGCAGTGAGTAAGCCCCATAGGCTGGGCTTAGTGGCACAGACCTATAACACCAGCTACAAGAGGCTGAGGCAGGAGTCAAAGTTCAGTGCCAGCCTGGGCAATTTTAAGAGATCCCACTCTCATTCCAGTGTTCTACCTTAGCATAGTTTCATTTCTTTGCAAACATTCTTTAAATAGAACCCAACCACAAACAGTGTTCTAAGTTTTCTTGAATTTTCAGTGACTATCCGGTATCTCATGAACTGTGAAAGGCCTAGTCTTAACTATTCCTATGTCTTAACTAGAGTTGGGGACCACAATTATTTTGTCACTGAAAAATGAATTACAAAGAAATAGCTCAAGTTCATAATTTTCTATCCATGGTATTGCTATTTAACTTCTGCCTGGTGCACAAACCTCAGTAGGGGAGATCGGTGCTGAGAGGAGGAGTCCTGCTTGCTTTTCTGCCTAGAAAGCCTTTTGCTGATCAACAGTTGTCACCCTCCTAGAAGCTCTAACTTGCCCTAGGCCTCCACTATGTTAGTATATCTACCTCTGTTTCTGACTCTGAGGAAGGGTCGGGCCAGACAGAGGGAGCACTAGTGGGCCCTAGCCCACCCTCCACTGTCCAGTCTACCACATCAATCTCTTCATCTTCAGAACTGCCAGGAAATGGGTCCAGCAGTTCAGGGTTAGCAGACACCTCCCTAGCTGCCTTGGGAGCAGGATACAATACCTCATTCATGCCTAGGGATACTTCCAGCCCTGTCTCTGCCCAGTTTGAGCATGGAAGTGAGATATCCCTATAAGACCTTTGGGAAGAGTCAGGGGAGTCAAGGTGGAGAAGTTTTTCTCCCTGACCATCCAGTGGCTGGGAGCTGGTAATTTCAAGGTCTGCAGGCCAAGAGCCTCTCAGTGAAAGTGCCTCTCTACTCACCTCAGAGGGCATGACAAGGGGGCTAAGGGGCTCAATAGATTCTGTGTTCTCAGAGCGCAAGACAAGGGGACTAAAGGGCTCAACTGGCTCTTTGTTCTCGCCAACAGGTTCCTTTTCCAATCCTGTAAGGTCTCTGGGCCAGAGTTCCAAGTCTGGCAAACACCATTCTTCCCCTTCAATCCAATTCTTCGCTGTTTCTGATAGGTGATAACTTGGGGTTCTGCAGCCTTCTGCCCCGGGACTCTGCAAAGATCCTACTGGTGGCTCAACATCTGAGCCACAAAGCATGAAGTCCAAAATCTCTTCCAGCTCACTGGTGGCTGCAGCACTTGTGATTCGATATTGCTCAGCTTCACAGGGCTGGCCTAGCAGGGTTGTGTCAAATGTGTAGGGCTCTCTGCAGTCAATATTCAACACAGGTTCCTTCCCTATCAGCATTGGACTGGACCCAAACTCTGACTTCACCACAGGGTGGTCTGGGGAGTGGCTAGCAGAGAGCAAAATGTCTTGTAGCCTAGGGCTCTCTGGGGAGTCCTGACACATTTGTAATCTAGCAGGTATTTCCTGCTCATTAACTGAGGACAACAAAGTTCCTGGAGGCTCTTCTACACCTGAGGGTTCTAGGATCTGGGGGCTATCTTGAGTGTTTCTGATGGGAGGTTCCTGTACCACCTCCCAGCAAGTACCATTGACAATCTTCCTAAGTTTTACTCTCCCAACCTGCCCCTCCTCTACAGAGTTGGAGGTGAGTGCTTTGAATTCAGGGCTTTGCTTCTTGCTCCCACCTGTCTTCCTAACATCAGGAGGGTCTGGAGTGCTCTGTGGAGGTCTGACTTCCCCTGGCTTCTGCTTGTCCACACCCTGTGCTGCTTTACTTACACTTCTCTGCCTCCAAAGACGCCGGCCAGTGGCTGTGGGCACTGAACTGGAACCACTTAAAACGCTGGAAGGCTTAGATGTACAAACATGAGGTGATGGCTTTGAGCGACTCAGCCTGATCTTTCTGGGCAACAGCTGCTCATCCACAGAAGAAGGGTACAAGCTGGGAGGGGAAAGTGCTGTAGGACCTAGAGCAGGGTTATTCTTGTTCTCCTTAGGCCCTTCTCTCTGGCTTGATGGAGATGAGCTTCTTTCTTGAGTCAAGCAAACCCTGGCTTTCTTCTTGAGGAGAAGGGTGTCTGACAAGCTATCTACATTCGGTAAGTTGCTCTTTTTGTGAGGTCCCTGTTCTTCCCCTAAGGACTTCAGCCTCACTGCTCCAAGAGGACTAGGAGTCTGGCTGACAGGCAGTGGAGTTCGAGGGCGGCGGCTGGGTGCTACCACTCTGGCAGAGATTGGTGCAGTACTTGGTGGTTGTAAGCACTCTCTGTTTAGTCTTCGGCCCTGGGGAGCCTTTACTAATTTCCCACCCTCTAGCTGAAGAGTTTCTAGCTCAGACACTCGGAGCTGACGGGCAGCAGAAAGCACATCCTGGGCTTCTTCCTGAGATACTTCCATCTCTGAAGTATACAGGAAATCCACCAGTTTCCTAAGTGTCCTGATCTTTAGGCCTCCCAGCTCCAGCACCACCTTCCGACCCTGAACTGGCCTTTCCCGCTCCAGGCGTTCTGTGAAGAAGGGACTACAGGCGGACAGGATGCAGCAGTGGGCTGGGACAGCCTCACCTGGAGGAGGGAAAAACACTCTTGTTAAGCTTTTTCTTTATTTCTTTTGGTCTGTTTTTAGTCCCAATAACAACAAAAAAATCACTAATTTAAAGATAAAGAAAAAATATAGTACCATCAGCTAACATATGTGCTTAGGGCTTTAAAAATCTTGTTCAAACCAGGTTTGGTGGTACATGCCTGTAACCTCAGACCTTGGAAGGTAGAAATTTCAGGAGTTAAAAGTCATTCTCAAGGCCAGTATGATCTATAGGAGAAATTGTTTTGTTTTCCTTTTGGTTTTTCAAGATAAGAGTTTCTCTGTGTAGTTCTAGCTGTCCTGGAATTTGCACTGTAGACCAGGATGGCCTCAAACCCAAAGAGATCTGCCTGCCTCTGCTCCCAAGTGCTGAGATTAAAGGTATGAGCTATTACCCAGAAAGAAATCTTGTTTTCAAAAGACCAAACCAAACAAAAAAGCCTTCCTAAACCTTCTTAAACCTTTGCAACTATCCCATTAGGATACTATGAGCATTTTATAGACTTTCTGTGCCCACAAAACTTTCCAGTTTGCTTTTCTTTGCTTATTTTCAGACAGGGTCTGGTTATAAGCCCAGACTTTGCTCATATTCATGATCTATTTGAGAACAGTGATTAAAATTGTATACCACTACACCGGACTCTAGTTTCTTTTTTTTTTCTTTTCTTTTTATTAAATTATTAATATTTTCACATGTACTTTCCCTCTCCCTCTCCCTCCCCCCACCCCTGGACTCTAGTTTCTTTCTTTGTGTGTGTGCATACATATTCCTGAAGGGGTGATGTGTTCATGCTATTGTATCGTGTGGAAGTAAGAGGACAACTTAAAGTGTCAGTCCACACCTTTCACTTTCTTTGACACCTTTCTTTCTGTTGCCCTTCATAATGCCAGGCTAGCTGTTCTACAAACTTCCCAGGATTTTCATGCCTCTGCCTTCCATCTAGGCAAAGGAGCACTGAGATTGGAGGTGTATCTGGGATCTGAGGATTCAAACTCAGGTCCTTACATTTATATGGTAAGTTTACTACCCACAGAGCATTCTCCCTAACCCCTATAATGCCTTTATATTTACTCATTTAGGGTGTGTGTAGGCTAGAAGTTGACCTTAGTTGACTGTCTACCTTATCCTTTAAGACAGGATCTCATTGAATCTGGACCTCACCAATTGGCTAGACTTGCTGGCCAATAAACCCCAGGGATCCTTCTGTTTCCAAATCTCCAGCACTAGGATTACAGGAACATATCAATGTAGTCAGTTTTTTATATGGGTGCTGACTTTTTATATAGGTGCCAACCATCCAAACTTAGATCCTCCTGTTTGTAAGACAAGCACTTTACCAATTGAGCCATCTCCCTAGCTCCTATTTATTTGTGTACAATATGTGCTATAGCATATGCACATAGCTCAGAGAACAACTGTGGATATTTGTCCTCACTTTTCACTTTCTTTGATACAGGGTCTGTTTCTACCTGTTCCCTATGCCAGGCTAACTATCCTTTGAGCTTTCAGGGTTCTCCTGTCTTCTGCCTTCCATCTCTCCTTGTATGGGGGCAGGGATTACAGACAGTTGTACTATGTGTTTGTGTTTTAGGGATTTGAGTTCAGGTCCTTATGCTTGCACATCCAGCACTTTTATCCAATGAGCCACCTCCCTACCCTCTTTAGTCATTTTTAAGTTGGATATCATGTGATCTAGGCTGGCTAAAATCCCTATGTAGTAAAGGATGACCTGAACTTCTAATCATCCTGCTTCTACAGGGATGCACTATGCCTAGTGTAATCTGTGCTGGGGACTGGACCTAGGGCTTCATGAAAACTAGGTTAACACTCTATCAACTGAGTTATATGCCCATGTCCAACATTTTAAAATTATGTATTCTATGTGTATGAATGTTTTGCTTTCATTGATGCCTGATGCCAGAAGAGGGCACTAGCTCTCTTGGAACTGGACAACCTCTAAGCTGCTACATGGGTACTGGGAACTGAACCAAGGT